GTGGAAAAGCTGCAGCCTGTGGGTGGGTCCAATGCCATTTTCACTTTTCGCACTACAAGAAAATCATATAGTTCAGTTTGACAACCGATTTGTCTATGGGAGAAGTCATCAAAGCTATAAATGAAACCACTAAAGCACCTTGTACTTTCAGCTTGCCAAAAGTTTTCTTTGGCTTCATCGAGGCTCCCTCACTGACGAGTTCCAAGGACCTTTTCCTCAACAGTTCTTCCTCCGATTGTAACAACACTTGCCTTGCGCTGGAATAATGGTAATATAAGCTCCATATTACAGATAAATAAATGTGCAGGATGAATTTTTTGATGAATTGACATGCTATTACAATATGCGCAAACATTACAAAGCAAAATGGTGGTCCTATGGAAGTGACGGAAATCAAACAGAGTACACCATATAAACTCAGTATGCAGTACCAGAGACCAAGTCATCATTAAAATAAAAGTCCAATTCAAAATTTCTATCACAAGTAGACAACTTATTGGTATCCAGATAAGTCTCAGCTTCTGAACTTCCCAAAGCGATCCGTCTCTGAAAACCATTTTTTGTAATCCAACAGACAAATTCTGCAATTTCTGGCAGCATATTAATGTATTCTGTAAAAGACAGGACTATTTGGCACTCCAAACAAGATATAGCTTCTTCCATATTTTTTCACTGAGTAGAACATACAGAACATGGAAACAGAAATAGAGTGCAAGTATCGGAACAAAACGCACCCAAAAGCATCTCGTAACGAGGCACATTCATTTTCCAAGAAAGCTGGAGCCTCGTGGCAACCCTTCTCCCATGAGTGAAGACATAGTCGAATACATGCCTCATAAGCAACGAAACCTTGCCAACTACCTCGTCCACTGTATCCAACTCAAATTACACAAGAAGATGATGAATAAATTGAATAATTGTAACAGAAACTTTAGAAAAATTTAGACCACTCTGAGTGAAATACCTAGCATGATATGTTGGAAAGAGGGCAGATGAAGAATTAGAAGGTACACCACCAGCCCTGAGAATGATAACAAGGTTGTCACTTTTGTCTTCAAATTCTTCGAGGATTATTCAGAAAAATAAAATATGTCATGATGTATACCTTCCAGATGGATCAGATTGTCCATCTTTTGTAGAACCTGCGGTTGCAGTTTTATATGTTTTAGCTTCATCCATTGCTACAGAACAACCTGATATTTCTGGGAAGGGGATTTCATCTGCCACAAAAGTTTTACGCTGCACAGCAACTTGATCGCATTCCTGTAATGAACCACCTAACGGGGGTGCACTGGGAATATCACTTTTGAACAACTTCAGTCTCTGCTTCAGCACATAACAGAATCAGTAGGCAGAAGAAGAGTAACATATTGTCATATTCGCATATGAAAGATTAATACAAGAAGAACAGAGTGCTTAATCCTCCTTATAACAGTTACGCAGACACAGTTATGGAGGCACAGATGATCAGAGCTTATACCACAAACAACAAACATAAGAATCTCAATCCCTTAACTATCATTACAAACTACTTAGATTCAAGAAGAATCGCCAGAAGTTATTGTTCATTAATAAGTGACACCTCTAAGATGCAAACATAGCTGCTGCATCTACACCCACCAGTTTTTTTCATCTAGACCCTCTGGTTTCAAACAATTACTGATATTCCTGATTCACTACAAGTACCTCATTCAGTGTGGACCACGGTTTTTAAGGCTTGAACTTCTTGCAAATGATTTTAAAAGCTTAAACTTCCGTCCACCTTCTTGGGCAACTTATGTCAAATAGAAACCCAAGATACTTGGTCTCCTAAGTAGTAGCAATAAGCAGCCTACTCATCAAGAGAAATAAGTTCAGGAAAAAAAGGGATTCCTCTAAACACTCACATAACAATCTTGCTAAATGTTATGTCTACTTTCCTGGTTTCTTTAGAGTCTCGTTAATAGACATTCAATGGGTACTCTTATAAACTATAACTGTTGTATTCCATGAGAAGCACAAGCATAAACAGATCAAACATAAACTTTGCCCCAAAATAGGAACTTCATAAATATCAAGCCTTATTCATCAGTTTGAGCATTAAAGTAATATCCTAGCAGATTTCACATTACTTCAGTTTTTTATATCACTCAACAAGTATAAAACTATCCCAAGATTTCACTCACTAGTCCTACATTGTTTACCCAACAGGCAAAAGTAGAACAGCAAACCTGTCTAGAAGACTTCACATTCGACTCCCAGGATGAGGCACTCTTGTTACCGATCGAAAATGGCAACGAAGTTGTAGTTTTAGAACTTGCAACAGAATTTGATGAACTTTTAACTACATTACCAGGATACACACTCTCAGAATGGTTCCACATTTTCTGCTGAAGTTCATCATTGGTGGCATTACCAATATGTTTATTGAAGGAATCCTCTCTCTTTGAAGTACCAACATTCGGAAACTTATCATCTTGGGGTGAAGTTTCAACGGAGTGATGTCCATCATAAACCTCATCATCCGAATCAAAACCAATATCCATATCCGACCCCCACCCATTATCATATCCACCACTGCCACTCACAGGTATAGTTCTTGAACCAGGGATAACACCAGATGGCAAATGCCCAGCTTGAAAGTTAGAACCACATATTACTCCAAAGCCCAATCCATTGTTTTTTCGGCCAAGAACAGGATCAGATTGCATTCTCTGAGTATACATTGTAAGTTATCTCTTCTTCACACTATCTCCTACCTAATTCAAATCAAGGGTTGTCCAACTTATCACAAATACTCAAACACAACAAGCACAAAACAAATAAAAAGACAATCTTTTTCCTATTGTCACAAACAAAAGCCAACAACAACAACAAACCCGGTGAAATCTCCTAAGTAGGGTCTGAAGAGGATCGCGTGTACGCAAACCTTACCCTACCTCATCAAGGTAGAGAGGTTGTTTCCTAAAGATCCTCGACTCAAGCGCAACAAATCAAACAAGTAATAATGACAGTGAAGAAAACACAGCAACTAACACAATCTTAACATATGACATTAATCATCCAGAGCAAGTCAAAGGGTTTCTGTCAATCAACATTCTGATTAGGGCTTTTACACTAACATATCTAATACCATATAGAAACACATAAACAATCGGTAAAAAAACTAAATGGAGTTTGCAGAAATAACCAATAGAAGTATCCAGAACTTACAAAGAGCAAGAAAGCCCAGTTCTTTAATGAGAAAGATGAGCAAATCACAGTTCTAAAGATTGCTTTTTTTTGCCCCTTAGCAACTCAATCAAGAAAAGCAAAACCCAATTTGACAATCTTTGCTTAAGAAATCAAAGATTCAGTGTACACACAAAGCTCACTTGCCATAAATAACACAACAAGTGAAAATAGAGCAAAGCAAAAAAATTATTAAAAAGAGGCAAAGAAAAGGACAGAAAAAAATGACTAAAATAAGGAAAAGATTGGAACTTTTTTCTTTATATGCATGTTATGTATATTATACACAGTCACAAGACAGATTGTAATGCACTTGTTGTTGTAGGGTAAAAAAGTGACAGCAAGTTTAGAAGAAGAAGAAAATAAAAAACCTTTCTCACTCTAGAGCATAAAGCATTTAATTGTGTCCCTTCTCTTCTTTCTTTTTTTTCCGACTCACATTAAAGTTCAACTAAGTCAAATTCACTCGCGTAAGATCAAAATACTCTCTCGGTCAAAAATAATTAAATTCGTACACGTAACTCAAAATTGAAACTTCTTGACTAAGTTTAAAAATAGTCTCATCTGTTGTGCCACGTACTTCGATGAATAATGTAATTCTCAAAATAATCTAGTGATCAATAATTTAGAGGAAATTTAGTTAAATCATGCATTTGAATTCTCCTAAATTTCTGTTAAGTTTATCTTTTGTCCACCTTTTACTCTTTTCTTTTCTGTTAAACTTGAAAGTTTAGTTAAAATCACATGCATTAGTAATTTAGTATTTCTATTAATTATATAAAAATAAAAAAAATGACGGAGACGTGAGGAAAGTAACGTGAGTATGACGTGGCAATGGCTTAAAATAACGGCTGGTCGTTTAGTGGCGCGTTTTTTGCCGCGGGAGGAGCGGTTTTGGTTGCACACAAGAAATTTACTTAATTAAGCTTTAGGGTGTGTTTGGGATGAAAGGAAAATGTTATTTTTTTTGGGCTAATTTTGAGTGTTCGATAAGTAAGTAAAAATATTTATATGTAATATAGTGAAATTATGAGGATTTGAGGGTGGCCTCGTGGCGGAGTTGGATGGTCAAGCAGTGGGCGTTGATCAAGTAAAAAAAAAAACATATGGACTAATTGAGTGGGCACGAAATTTGGGAAAGGAATGAGAATTACTTGACTTATTTTAAAATAAGTCATAATGAATGATGGAGTCGAAATTTTCACTTGAGTTCAAAATATATGAAAAGTACGAAAAACAAATAGGTGAGAGAATGTATGAATGGGACAGAGAGTGTATTCGGTGCTTTACCTTATTGACTAAGAAAAAGATTTCAAAAAAAGGAAAAAATATTTAATTCATTTATTAAATATTCTGTGATTTGGAAAGATCTAAAATTTTAGATTCCTTTTGTTTATTAAAGTTTTTTTCTTTTTTGGACTAATGTTTTCACTACTACTTTACTTGCATCTTCTCTTTGCATTTGCAAGAAAGAATCACATGATATGTACATGTCATATGTCACGACTTTCGAAAAGTAAAATATGACAAGTTATTTTAAAACGAAATTAAGATAAGTGCCTTGAAAAAGTCAAACAGTTTAAAGTATTGGTCAAATGAAATTAAGTGCAAAGAAATGAGATTATAAATGTTTTACCTTAGTATTAATGACGTTATTTATATAGGCATCTTTAGTTGGAAATTTAATGAATCAGTAGAGAGATTATTAAATTTTGAGGGTAAGTTTCAGAGCTAACATTGTTCGAGTCGTAGAATCAGGATAGGTTGTTCACATTTCATCTACAAAACAGTGATAAAGTTATTTTCATGTGATTTATAGATCGTGAATTCAAGAAAACAAATGTGCATATACACAAATTTATATTATTCACATTGGCATGAATAGATCTCTTCTACTATAAAATACAGCTCCTCTTTGCACAAAACTAAAAAGGAACACAAGTTCTCTCCAAGTAAAAATTAATCATCTCGAGAACCTAACGTCTTCTGCTTAAGATCTTCAATTTTAGCAGCAAACTCATCTCTATTCTTCTGCAGATACAATATCATTTCAAAGAGTTAGAACGATAAATGAACGTAAAGCTTCTAACTCATAAAAGATGAATACACGAGTCGATAATGAGCTGCATTGACATGTCGATGAGTCCACTGAAATTAGAACTGCAGCTTGAGCAATAGTAAGTAGTGCAGGCATTACCTTGAATAGTAGATAACGGGAGGTGAACCAGAGAGCGTAGCCAAGACCCACCAATTCCATTAATTTAGGAAACTGAAAAATTATACAATACAGAACGACTGTCAGCAACGAGGAAAACATATTTCAAAGAAATAACAAAAGGGTCGATTGTGATAGAGAGGAAAGTACGAACCAAAGGAACAGAGTCGATGGCTCCAACAATTGAAGTTGTCAACCAAAGAGCAGTGAGAACAGCACCACCAAATAGGATAATTGAAGAGGAATCTTTAGGATCATACTGGTAAGTAGGAAATCTTTGTGTCAACAATTGGAAGGAAATCTCAGATGTAGACAAGGCGACAATTTATAATCAACAGTATGAAAAAGTGAAACGGTAGTAGTGATAGTTAGCTTCTTCAAATTTTCCATAGCTTGCGGATATCTTTAGTTTAAGCTACGAGAAAATCTCATATACAATGAAGCATTTGGATGTCAATAAGTTTAGCTATACAACGAAAGCTAAATTCACCAGATCCTTTGTTAGCGTCCCTCCCAAGTCCTAAAAAGCAAAAAGCACTAAGAAGGCCATACACAAACAAATTTGAGAAAACAAAAAAATGTCACATATCCCCATAAACTAGAACCTACAAATGCACCAAATACATTGCATGATGAAAGAAAGAGCACAGTGCATAATTCAACGAACCACAACCATATCATATATCACAGAGGAAGGGAGGATTATGAGAAGAGAATGACAGACAGTATGATACTTAAAGAATAGCAAGGAAGGTGAGGTTGCTCAGGTAACCGCTCAGAATCGACATGACTGCCGATGCATCTTCAAGCCTTGCGACTTTCAAAAGCTGAATTTTCATCACAGCAACCAGATTTAAATCTAAATATTACATCTAATAAGGAATAATTTAGTGGGAAAATAGGGGGAAAATAAAAATCAAATTTGCATGATGACCCTTCGCAGGAAAATGGTCACAAGTGTTAACGGGTAAACTAGTGAAGCAAGAAATACCTCAACCAGAATTTCAACAGCAAAATCATTTGGATCCATCAGAAACCATCTGTATTTTGTTGAAACATATCTTGCAATTGGACATGTTTCACAAGCTTTGCAAAATGAAGAATAGAAAAAGAAATTGATTAAGATATGACTGCTCAGGTAACCGTTCAGGATCAACATCACTGTTGACGGTTTCACCAAGTATAGAAACTTTCGACATATTCCAAGTTTCATCACAGCAGTCCGCTTGTGGTAATACAAAAGCAACACTAACCAAGAAGAGAGCCAAATTATGTGTTTTTATTGAATAGGTTAGAAAGAAGGGGGATAAGAATTATTGAGCTTAAGAAGGATTCATCAAAGACGGACTTATTTATTGAAACATGGGTTATTGAACATGTATTTCAGAAGCACTTCAAATGAAGACTAAAAAAGGAAGTGATAAAATATGACCGCTCAGGTAACCGCTCAGGGTCAACATTACTGTTGACGGTTTCACCAAGTATAGAAACTTTCGACATATTCCAAGTTTCATCACAGCAGTCCGCTTGTGGTAATACAAAAGCAACACTAACCAAGAAGAGAGCCAAATTATGTGTTTTTATTGAATAGGTTAGAAAGAAGGGGGATAAGAATTATTGAGCTTAAGAAGGATTCATCAAAGACGGACTTATTTATTGAAACATGGGTTATTGAACATGTATTTCAGAAGCACTTCAAATGAAGACTAAAAAAGGAAGTGATAAAATATGACCGCTCAGGTAACCGCTCAGGGTCAACATTACTGTTGACGGTTTCATCAAGGTGTCAAACTTTCAACAAGTTCTGAGTATCATCACAGCAGACAACTTTTTCAACTTCTTAAAAAAACCAATAAACAAAAGGGAAAAATTAAGTGTGTTTTTCTAATACATCTAGGAGATTAAGGGATAAGAATTCACAAAATGCTGATCGTGCTGAATGAACTTAGATGGCTTCAAAATCAAGCAGGTGAGAATTGAGATAAAATCAATCAACGCCTCATTCCAGATGGTTGTCAATTATTTGTATCTTATGTCTCCTTACTGACTATTCAATATTTAAAACATCACCAAATTTAGACTACTATTAGTTGAAAGGTGCAGTGCAGTTAAACATCTATTTCACAAGTATTTCAAAATATGACAACTAGAAGAAGCATGAAGATATGACTGCTCAGGTAACCGCTCAGGGTCAACATTACTGTTGACGGTTTCATCAAGGTGTCAAACTTTCAACAAGTTCTGAGTCTCATCACAGCAGTCAGACTTTTGACAATAAAAAAGAACCACCAGCAAGAAAGAGAGACAAATCAAGTACTTTGCTAGCATATGTTAGAAAAAGGTGACCCAGACTTGCTTTGGATGGAGGCATAGTAGTCAATATTGTATATAAGAGATCTTCACAAACTGCTGAGCCTATACTTTTATAATATGAACTTAATCCCTGTACTTTTGACCTAGCTGTCTTGACAATGACTCTATGTGTTGTTCAAGGAATTAAAAAATGTCTTAATTAACCTCCTTAATAGTTTCATCAAGGAGTCAAACTTTCAACAAGTTCTGGGTATCATCACAGCAGACGACTTTTTCTACATCTTAAAAACACCAATAATGGGATTTCACTGGGTATGTTGTTGTTGTAAAAACACCAATAAACAAAAGAGAAAAATTATGTGTGTTTTTCAAGTATATGTAAGAGATTAAGGAACAAGAATTTCCAAAATACTGATTGTGCTGGAACGAATAGTTGAGAAGAAAATCAATCAACGAATCAACAACACCTCATTCCAGACGGCTGTGTCAGTTATTTGTATCCTATGTCTCCTTTCCAGCTATTTCAATATTTGAAAAATCACCAAATTTAGACTACTATTTGTTGAAAGGTTCATTGCAGTTGAACATTAATTTCACAAGCATTTCAAAATATGACAACTAGAAGAAGCATGAAGATATGACTGCTCAGGTAACCGCTCAGGGTCAACATTACTGTTGACGGTTTCATCAAGGTGTCAAACTTTCAACAAGTTCTGAGTCTCATCACAGCAGTCAGACTTTTGACAATAAAAAAGAACCACCAGCAAGAAAGAGAGACAAATCAAGTACTTTGCTAGCATATGTTAGAAAAAGGTGACCCAGACTTGCTTTGGATGGAGGCATAGTAGTCAATATTGTATATAAGAGATCTTCACAAACTGCTGAGCCTATACTTTTATAATATGAACTTAATCCCTGTACTTTTGACCTAGCTGTCTTGACAATGACTCTATGTGTTGTTCAAGGAATTAAAAAATGTCTTAATTAACCTCCTTAATACTTTGATTTGTTGGAAACAATGTCCCAAAAATGTATACCTATGTTTATTTTTTCTCTGAATGGATTTCTTTTTTTTGGGAAACAGTTCTCCATATGGATCATTTTCCCTCTCCAGCTATTGCAATTTTAATCTCCTTGTTCCTATTCTTTGGGCGTTATGATATGGTGTTTGCTGTACAGACAGACCATTAAATGTATACTACTTGGTACACCAGAATGGCTAGTCAAAGAGCCAATATTCACAGCAAATTGTTAGTTCAGCAAGTCTTACTAAGACAACAAACAACAAGAAGATGGAACGCACCTTAATATTTAGCGTGTCAAAGAACTTGGACAATTGCGATTCAAACTCCAAAGCAGAATCTTCTATTGGTGCTTCAGCTTGAACAGCAGAATCTTCTTTGGGAGGTTCATATATCAAGGACACATAAGCATCTGTCTCTTTGTCTTTACTAGAATCATCAATTGGTGCTTCATTCTGAACAGCTGCATCGTCTTTCTCTTCAAGTGTAGGAGGTTCATATGTCAAAGATGCATAAGAATCTGTTTCTTTGTCTTCTCTAGTATCTTCTATTGGTGCTTCATCCTGAACAACTCCATCATCTTTCTCCTCAACTTTAGGAGGTTCATATTTCAAAGCTGCATAAGCATCCGTCTCTTTATCATTCCTAGAATCTTCTATTGGTGCTTCATCCTGAACAGCTGCATCATCTTTCTCTTCAACTGTAGGAGGTTCATATGTCAAAGATGCATAAGAATCTGTTTCTTTGTCTTCTCTAGTATCTTCTATTGGTGCTTCATCCTGAACAACTCCATCATCTTTCTCCTCAACTTTAGGAGGTTCATATTTCAAAGCTGCATAAGCATCCGTCTCTTTATCATTCCTAGAATCTTCTATTGGTGCTTCATCCTGAACAACTCCATCATCTTTCTCCTCAACTTTAGGAGGTTCATATTTCAAAGCTGCATAAGCATCCGTCTCTTTATCATTCCTAGAATCTTCTATTGGTGCTTCATCCTGAACAACTCCATCATCTTTCTCCTCAACTTTAGGAGGTTCATATTTCAAAGCTGCATAAGCATCCGTCTCTTTATCATTCCTAGAATCTTCTATTGGTGCTTCATCCTGAACAGCTGCATCATCTTTCTCTTCAACTGTAGGAGGTTCATATGTCAAAGATGCATAAGAATCTGTTTCTTTGTCTTTCCCAGAATCTTCTATTGGTGCTCCATTCTGAACAGTTCCATCATCTTTTTCTTCAACTTTAGGAGGTTCATATATCAAAGATGCATAAGGATCTGTCTCTTTGTCTTTGCTAGAATCTTCAATTGGTGCTTCATTCTGAACAGCTCCATCATCTTTCTCTTCAACTTTAGGAGGTTCGTCTATCAAAGACGCATAAGCATCCGTCTCTTTGTCTTTACTAGAGTCTTCAATTGGTGCTCCATTCTGAACAGCTTCATCGTCTTTCTCTTCGACTTTGGGAGGTTCGTATATCAAAGATGCATAAGCATCCGTGTCTGCGGCAGTCCTAGAATCTTCTACTGGTGCTCCATTCTTAACAGCTCCATCGTCTTTCTCTTCAACCGTAGGAGGTACATATAACTCATAAGCCTCTTCCTCGGATTTTGATCTAACAGCTCCATCATCTTTCACTTCAACCGTAGGTGGTACATATAACTCATTAGCCTCTTCCTCTGATTTTGATCTAACAGCTCCATCATCTTTCTCTTCAACCATACTAACAGCTCCATCATCTTTCTCCTCAACCGTACTAACAGCTCCATCATCTTTCTCCTCAACCGTAGGAGGTACATATAACTCATAAGCCTCTGTCTCTGCTTTTGTTCTAACAGCTGAGCCTTTACGGTAAAGTAATCCTGAAGTATAAACAGAAAACCATAAGATGGCAAACAATCACTCTTCCACCACCATTATCCAATCAAAGTCGCGAACAACTCAACAAAACCAATGCCAAAAAACTAAACTTACTTTCCTCAAGTCACTATTGGAGCTCTCAGACAATTTACCAAAACTTAGCAGCCTCTACATAACGACAAATCTGAGCAACTCTTAACAAAAAGACATATTTTAATACATTTTTTTCCAGTCTAAATATTGAATCTTGTCATCAACCCAGAAAACAGCAACCCAATTTGAAAACATTTATGAGCCCGTTACACATAATACTTACCAAAAAAAATCACGAAAATAGTAACTATGTAGCCGGATGTTTTCCTTTGCATTGGTATAGTTCAGTGTATCAGGTATAACTATATTATAGTAAATTATAACATAAAAAACTATTTTAGAAATGAAAAAAAAATCCAAACTTACACCCAATATATATATAAACTACATAGCAGTAAATTAAACAATCCTCATTAGCATTAGAGCACCAAACAGCAAAAGATTATTTAACTTCAACACAATTTAATAAAAACAAAAAAAGAACAAGGGACTTCTAGGAATCAAGGAAATGGGTAAAAATCCAAGAAAAAGATTTACTATTTACTACTTTTTCTAGCTGACATACCTATATGTACACAATCATACACATATAATACCAAAATTATACATCCGCCTGCTATTTTTCGTTTAATTAATCAAATGGGTAGCTGGCTATTCAAGTTAGTTCTTCAAATAAAAAAAAAATGCTGAACATACAGAAGAAGAAAAACAGACTTTACACACAAATATCGCACAATTTCTAACACCCAATAAAAAACCCTAAAATTCGAAATACCAACCTGAATTGAATCGAGATTTTGGGTTTTTTTTTAGTAGAAGAGAGGGTCTCCATTGGAGTTGAGCTCGATTACTAAGCCTATAATTTGGAAGATTCGAGAAGGTTTGAGGTACACAAAGCTCCATTGTTTTTTCAGCTATAAATGCTGTTTAACCCTGAAAAAAAACAGAGGGGTAATGGAGGTTTATATAGAAGAAGAAGAAGAGGAGGAGAAAACGCTAGGGTTTTAGCTTTTAAGTGTGGTGGTGGTGTTACTGGGCTCAACAAAATCTTGGAATGTGAAGCAGGTGGAGAAAAATGAGTGAAATAGAAAAAAAGCTAAGGCAATGAAATATCTTTATTGGTAGTATTATATTGAAAAGTTTAGTTGGGCCTTTGAACTTAGGACCACCATCAATCTCATTCTTGGGCTCTTTTTGTTTTATTTAGTTGAGACTCTGTCGAAAATAATTGATTTATATTTGCGTCTATTATCATATTTTTTAGGAATCGCTTAGTGTAAGATATAACGTATAATAATCTCAACATAAAATACAGAACTATTTCATCTTGCGTTTGGTTAGAGGTATTAGACAGTCATGCGATTATTTATCCCACCCTTCATGCCTTAGAAATGAGATAAGTTATTTCATATACATGATAGAAATAGTTTCAAAATAATTTGTTCCCAACTAAATGAACCCTAGATTTTATGTGTGGGATTATATTAAATATGTTATTTTTATTATTATTGTGAAATTACACGGAATGTGTTGTTTGATGTTGTTGCTTTACTAAGAAATACTAGAAACTCGATGTTTACTCATGATTTTTTATTTTTTTTGGTTATTGTGAATATCATTTTCGTATCAATACAAGATATGCCTATTGGACTTCTTACATATTAACAAGAAAATATTTTCAAAGTATTTACATACATAGATATAATTCATGTAATAGCGTAAACTATCAAATCAAGAAAGAAATAACAATAGCTAATATAAGTATACGAAAGAACCTTTTTTTATTTGAATCCTTGTGATGCAATTGGATTTCATGAGGTAGTTTGTTTTGATCAGGTCATTAATCTACATTCATTTATTATTGTTTTTACACATATACCACTTTAGATATACGATATTTGGTTGATTTTGATAAAATCAAACTTTATATACATTGTTTGAAGTTTTGTATAGCTGAAGTTCATATGTTTTTACCTAAAGTTAACTCGAAGTAACTACACATGCAAAAAAACATAAGAAAATAAGTTAAATAGCAATGTCGAAAATAAAAATTTATACATTTCACCTTATTATATAAAGATTATGAAATTCATTAGGTTCAATAGATCGCTTAAGCCATCATTGACATAACTATAAACTTATACAATTTTTGTTAAAGGCATAAAAGCATTTGGTGAAATCAGTAAACTATATTTGCTTTTGGATAAATGTGTGAGATAAAAGGTCGATAACTTTTACTTTCTTTTTTTCAAATAACTTTTAATATCCTATATACCCAATAGAATAAGATCATATATATTTGGTATGATGGAATGTTAAACATATATTTTTATAAAAGTATTTTTTATGCAGGTTCTCTATCATAGAATTCGAACATCATGATAAATTTGGCCAGTGACTTCTATAAAGAAGATGGCACAAAGAAAAAGCTCGATCTCAAAACTTTGTTAAGCCGGAAGATAACAAGGTCTAACGAAGGACAAAAAACAAAATATGTTTTATGATCTTAAATATTTAGTAGATATTTTAATACACATATAAATGTAATATTAAACAAAAATATATATATTAAGTTAACGTGGATTCATTATTTACACTTGAGAGATTTCTTCATCATTTATCTTTTGTCTCAAACTTGAGATTCAAAAGCCACTGTCCACGTGCCTACTCACGTGACTGCTTAAACATGTATTAACTCAGCTTTGTCTCTTTGTCATCAAATCTACTCGCAACATTAGATATAATTAACACTTCATTTTGTCTAATCAAGTTTTTGTTTGTGAATTTAAATTTAATCGGACCATAATGACGATAACAACAACAATATATCCAATGAAGGCCTACAAATGAGGTATGTGGAGGGTATATAGAATATAGGTAGATCTTATCACTATCTTGTGGAGGTAGAGAAGTTGTTATCGAAGGACCCCGACTTCAGTGCAACAAATCCCCATATTAAAAAAGGGGACAATATAAAGTATAACAAATAACAAGAAACAGTGCAAAATTAGACCACGATGAATTTATCGAATATCAGAAGGAAAAGCAAATTTTAACTTGACATGTAAATTTATGCATTTGTGCAAATTAATTTAATCTAATGGTAAATTCAAAGGTGTAGTCTAGTGATTTTAGAGTTACTCGATATTTGTTGTTGATGAGAAATGACATATTTTATAGAATTAATCAAGAGGCACCATTTTAATTTGATAATATAAAAAATATATTACTACATGAAACATAACTTATTTATTACTTAAAAAACATCATGCATGTGTAAACTCTGAACTAAAATGGAAATGCATGTCTAATGCTACAACAACACAAACCTGACAATTGTGAAAAACAGACAAAACACCATAAATTCCAACAAGGAAACAACAAATGATGAATTTGAAACAACTCATTAGTCATGTGATATGATTCTACTAGTTTTCATAAATTTATTATTAGGTGTTTTTAATATTTATTTTTGGCTCTTTTAACCGTCTAACAAACTTTATTGACAAGTATAAAGAAATGATGGATAGTTCGAGTTTTAGGTATGAAATCATCTTTTAATAGGACATATTATATCTTTATATCTATCAATGTGATTTTTCGATTTGAACCCTCTATTGATCAAATCGCAAAACAAGTACACTATCAAATACTATCATTAATTATAAGATATTTAATTGAGATTCTAAAGGTGTTTGGAGGTAGGAAAACGTTCTCCATCGATAGTAAGTGATAATCTCACATATCTTTTATAGTGTTTGATGAGTAAACATAAATTATATATATGCGCTTTGATAAGTATAAATTTCAAAATGATTTAATATGTGCATGTTGTGTACTTTGGCTATTACTTACTTTTTTAATAATTATTTTCCATTCTCTAAAATGCAAAAAAAAACACAAAAAACGTGAAGTTGACATATTCAATGACAATAGCTAGTCATTTCCTGATGAATTATTTGATGGTTCATGTATTTTTAAGAAATTCAGTATCAATAATTATAAAACAAAAAATTTATAAGCAGTTCATCAAATAAATTTACTATAGGAACTAGTAGGAAGGAAAAACTATTTACATATATTGCAAACATGGCAGAGTTAGAGTATTGACTATGAACTCAATCGAACTCAATAATTTTGATTCAAATTCTATTTTTATCTTAATAATTCATTAGATATGTTTGAATTATGTCTTGTAGAAGCAAAGATCAATGCTATTCCATTCGGAAAAGCAATCTTGGACCCTACTAAATGCGCGTTATGTGCTTGGATGCATTAGTACCCATCCCCGATTGCTTTAAAAATAGACGTTCGATACGATCAAAGCTTCGGAGAGAAAGGAATGAGAAGTTAGGGTAGAGCCAGAAACATTGCTCAACATTGTTTGTTGTCTGTCAGCCTATTCAACTAATCTTAAAGAATTCATGTTATGCGATACAACATGTTTTATTCTTGTCGGCGATTGTAATCTCTTTCTTAGAGTTAAGCTACTCCAAAAGATTAACAGTCTAGCTACTAACATTGTTTTTTTTAAATTGATTATGTATCAATGACTCACCTTTCTTTAAACCTTATCAATGATCAAACTTAAAAAATATGAACCGATTGTTATTTAATGAATAACTAAATAAAATATATAAAAAAGGAAAATGGAAAGAATGAAGCCTCCTCCCATGTATAAGTACACATTTTATTTTATTTTTAAATTTGAAGCTACTATTATATTTATTGTTTATATCAATAGAAAATATATGAGAATAGAACAAACTTTTTAAATTATTTTAACACTTTATTTCTATTTTTTTTTTGTTTTTGTTTTTAATTCCAACTCCAAAATTAGAGAAAAGGAAGGCTAGTGGAATCTGACTCTCATCCTTCTCACCTTTAAGCTCTATCCTCAGTCTCATATTTTATTAACCAATCACACCTCAACACCTCTCTTCCCCCACGCGCTTCTCCCCTACGTGCACATCACACTCTTTTCTTCTAACGCATACTCGGAATCACTAATTAATACTAATCCAATAAAAAAATTATCTTTTTTTCTTTTATATTGTTTCTCAATTTTGTTATTATCATGGCTTTACGTAATTGATCGGATAAAGATAAATATCCCTTCAACAGTTATGACTTGTGATAGAATCTCAATGCCTCATCAAAGTACGAAAACTATATATCGTGGTTAGGAAAGATTGGTATTAGTTTTAAGATGCATAGATCGACTCCATTATATCTACGTGCAAGGAACTACGAGATCACTCCAAAGACGTCGATCGTCCTTGTGGCGAGTGCACAAGTGGAGCTTACACTCGCGAGTGGGCGTTACAAAAAAATACACTTCCTTCCTACTATAAAATCCTCTCTTCGAAACGTTCGAAAAAGCGAAATAAAGGAAAAACTTCAAAACACCAAAAGGAAAAAAGGGAAAAATTTCTCCGGCGGAAATTACCGGCGATCGACGATGGCCTTGCCTGAAAATTTAACCAGAGAGCAGTGTTTGTACTTAGCGAAGCTAGCTGAGCAAGCCGAACGATATGAGGAGATGGTGAAGTTCATGGACAAGCTCGTAATCGGGTCGGGTTCATCGGAGCTGACGGTGGAAGAGCGAAACCTCCTTTCGGTGGCGTATAAGAACGTTATCGGCTCACTTCGAGCAGCGTGGAGGATTGTGTCGTCAATTGAGCAGAAGGAGGAAGGTAGGAAGAACGATGAGCATGTGGTTCTAGTGAAGGATTACAGATCTAAAGTTGAATCTGAGCTTAGTGATGTTTGTGCTGGAATTCTGAAGATTTTGGATCAGTATTTGATTCCTTCAGCTTCTGCTGGCGAATCGAAGGTGTTTTATTTGAAGATGAAAGGGGATTATTATCGTTATTTAGCTGAATTCAAAGTTGGAAATGAACGTAAGGAAGCTGCTGAGGATACTATGCTTGCCTACAAAGCTGCTCAGGTATATTTATTATTAATTGTTCGACGTAACTGGTAAAGTTGTTGCCACGTGATCATGAGGTTAATTTAGTGCACCGGAATGTCCTTTTTGCTCTTAATTCAAAGTTTAATCTACATAAACCTGATCTTGTTATTTACTGT